AAAAAAAAAAAAAAAAAAAAAAAAAGACTGACATGCCTATTAGGTGCTCCGATGGAGAGAAGGATGTAATTCAAGTAGGAAGAGATCAAATGTGTCCAGGGCTCTGAGAGACTGAGTAAGATTACGCCTGAAGATTGGCCCCTAACTTTGGAAATGTGGAGCTCAGTAGTAAGCTTGCTGGGAAGGAGAGCAGACTGAAAGAACCATAGCTGGAGGAAGATATGAAGGTGTAGGACAGCGTTTGCATTTTGTTTCTGTTGTTTTGAAGTGTGGAAGCCAGTAAATCACATTTAAAGCTCAGGATGCCAATCCAGAGGAGAAGTATGCTATGGGGAAGAAGGGACAGGTGTGGGAGTAGAATATCATTATGTGTCAAGGGGCAGGGTCCAAGGAACAAGCTGGGAGCAGGGTTCTCTTCTACAGCAGTAGCAAAGCCACAGGTAGCTCTGCAGGGGGAGAATGTAAGTTTTGGTTGGTTGAATTTTTTTCATTGAACTTGGAAGCAAGACAGTGTCGCTCCTGTCAAGATCACCGATGCCACTGGGGTTGGTGGCACTGGCCCGGGATCCCAACTACTGGAGAGCTGAGGATCATGAGTTCAAGGTCAGCTAGGGCAACACTGAGGCCCTGCTTCAGAAATAAAAAGGAACAGGAATGTAGCTTGGTGGCAGAGTGCTCACCTAAGCCTGCCTGAGGCTGGCGTTTCAATCCCCAGGACGCAAGGAATGAAACAAGAAAACACACCAGCAGCACCAGCAACAACAAAAACCAAACTATTCCCCACCCCTAGGAAGACTGAGCCAAGAGGTTTGCCAGTTCGAGACAAAGCTGAGCAGGTTATTGAGATCCTGTGTGAAGATTAAAAACTAAAGAGGGCTGGTGATGGAGCTGGGCAAGAGGCGCTGCGTTCAATCCCCATCACGCAGAGACTCAGAGCAGCTTAGAGTGGAATTCAAAATAATGACCCTGACGAAATGGACAGCGAGAGCAATGCCCGAAGATGTCCTGAGAAGTTGCCTCCCTCCCTGCTCGCGCTCCGTGGTTTATCCAAAGCGCCCTCACCGCGGTTCTGCCCGCGGATGGCCGACAGTAAATATTACTATTTTATGTAACCCAACAGTTGCAGTGCAGCTTAACCTAATTTAGATTACAGGTTAAATAAAATGTTTTCATCTAGCAAAAGTAAAAAGTTATAATTATGCTTTGATGTTATTAGTGTTTTAATTCACCCCCCCCAGGGATTGAACTCACAACCAGGCAAGCAAAAGCACCACAGAGCTAAATTCCTGGCCCTTCATTTGGGTTTTTCTTCTTCTCTATATGGCAAGTGCCACACGTCCTGACATTAATGAAAAAAATACTTTCAAGGCTAGGTAAGCACATAAGCCAGAGTGGGTGATGTTGTGGACACATTCACTATTGCTAGAAATCCTTCTGTTGCTAGTGAATCTAGATATTTTCCCCTGCGTTTAAATGATTGTCATTTGGCTCTGCTTTATACCAAGAACAAAGGTATGGAGTCCTTGGAAATACCAAACCCATTCATTTTATGGCCCATTGCATACATGTGCCAGGATGCATCCTGTTTTCAGTATACATGAAGCACAAATTTTGAGGAATAGGTTTTGAAAGGTATCGGAAAACTAAAACTCTCATCTTTCTTTTCTCTCTCCGTATAGAGTTATATATGTTTGGTATTACTGGGGTTGAACCAGGGCCTTCACACTGAGCAACTTCTCCAGCCTTTATTATTTATGGGCAATGTTTCACTAAATTGACTCAGCTGCACTCAATTTTGATCCTCTTGTCTCAGATTACCATAGTACTGGGATTACAGATTTGTGCTTTCATTCTTGCTTTAGAACTTTTCACATTTTTAATAAAATTACCTAATTGAGGAGCAAGAAGTAGCTCCCTGCATGAGGCAAAAACAATTGACATGCTCTATTTTTTGTATTTTCTAATAAAATGTAAGGGTCAAGTGGGCCTGGTGGTATATGCGTGGCTGAGGCAGGGGGACTGCAAGTTCAAATCCAGCTCAGGCTGCTTAGCAACTTAGCATTACCCTGTCTTGGAAAAAAAGGTGGGGTCAGGGTGCTGGAGTACAGTTCATTTCAAACCCTTGGGTTCATTCCCCAGTACCACCATAAATCAGAAAATACCAAGTTTGGTTTGTGGGTTTTCCCACATTGTGCCAAAATATCTGAGAAAATCAACTTGAAGGGAAGAAAGTTGTTTCGGTCATGGCTGACTGGCTTCATTGTTTCTCAGCCTTCCTCAGGCAGAATACCATGATCAGAGGGTGTGGCAGAGCAAACTTACCACCTCATGGAGACCAGAAATGAGGCAGGGAGAGAGAGATAGAAGGTGCTGGGGATGAATGCACCCTTCTAAGGCCTACACCATAACCTACCTGTTCCCATTAGGCCTCACATCCTAATATCTACCACCTCCCAGTAAGCATTTGCTGGGGACCAAGCAAGCCTTCAACATAAAAGACCTTCTGGGTCAAGGTGGTGCGGTTGTAGAGACGCGGAGCCATCTCGCTGTCTCTCTCTCTCTCTCTCTCTCTCTCTCTCTCTCTCGCTGGTGGGTATACAAAGTGATACCACCCCTGGGAATCAGTTTGGCAGATCCTCAGGAAGCTCACCAGCATCGCTATTTGTCAGCCATACCAGTTCTAGTATCCATTTATAAAATCGACAACAAATGTTCAAGCAGGAACTTGTACGCGAGTGTTCGTAACAGTTCTGGTCACAGTAGCCAAAAGGAAGAAACATCCCTGTTATGATTTGGACCCTTAATGTCCCCCCCAAAGCTCCAATGCTGAATGTTTGGTCCCGGATGCAGCAGGAATGTTCAGAGGCCTTTATGAGGTGATTGGATCATGATTAATGGATTAATCCACTTACAAATTCAGTTTAATGGGCTCTGACATAGAAATGAGCTCCCTCTCTGCTTCCTGCCTGCCATAAGATGAGCAGCCAGAACAGGTCTTTTCCCCTTAAACTGACTGCTTGTGGGCATCCTGTCACAGTGACAGAGGTTAACACAAACCCACAAAACCTTAAGGAATGAAGGATTAAATAAAGTGTTACAAATTCACACAGTGAATACTATTCAGGGATAAAAAGGAACAAAGTCTGGGCATTGTGGCCCATGCCATGGCACTTAGGAGACTGAGGCAGGAGAACCATGAGTTCAAGGCCAGCATGAGCTACATAGCAAGACCTTGTCAAAAAGGAGGTTGGGCTGGGATGCTGCTCAGTACAAAGGCCCTGGGTTGAAACTCAGTTCTGGAAAAAAGAAAGCCAGAGATGTAGCTCCACTGTGAAGCGTGTGCAGCATGAGTGCATCTCCAGCATAAGCTTCGAAAAGGTTATAAACATTGCGCCCAGTGAAAGAAGTGAGGCTCAAGGCAGAGCACGGCACGGTTCCATGTGATGGAGAATCTAGAACGGGCAGATTCATACAGACCCACAGCGAGGTCGGGGACGGAGAGCTGGGGAGAGGGGTGATGGGGTGACTGCTGATGGGCGTGTAGTTTCTTTTGGGTACTGGAAAAGTCCTGGCATTGGGTCCCGGTGGTGGGTATCATTAGTGCCATAGAGAGTATACTTTAAAATGGGTGCAGTGGTACATTTTATGTTATGTCTACTTTACCAGCGAAAGAGTGGCTATCTTTAGGTTATATTATTTAAAGAGATGAAATGTATGTACCATTAAAATAAACTTAATTTCTCATTCAGAGTACTTCTAGAAGTTTTGTGGGATTTTTATTTATTTATTTATTTATTTATTTATTTATTTCAAGATGATTTTTTTGTTTTTTTCGATACTGGGGATCGAACTCAGGACCTTGCGCTTGCAAGGCATGTGGCAGAATTACTGAGTTAAATCCCCAGCCCCACCCACTTTTTGAGACTGGGTCTTGCTATGTATTACAGGCTGGCCTTGAACTCACTATGTCGCTGAAGCTGACCTTGAACTTGTGGTGATCCCCCTGCCTCAGCCTTCCAAGTACTGGCATTACAGGGGTGTACCCCCACACCTGGCTTGTGGGGATTTTAGAGTTGGGAAAAAAAACCATAGAGATTGATAGCTCATGCCTACATTATAGAGTTTTTCAAAAATATTCAGCAACTTTTTTTCCATTTTTATACTGAGGATTGAATCCAGGGACTTTGCACTGAGCTACAACCTCAGCCCTTTTTAAATTTTTGATTTTGAGACAGTATCTCACTAAGTTGCTAAGTTGCCCAGGCTGGGCTCAAATTTATGATCCTCCTGCCTCAACCTCCCAGAATGCTGGATTCAGAGGCATGCACCACCATGCCTGGCTTCAGCAACTTTCTAATCATCACAAGTGTTAGCATCCACGTATAGCCACATGAATTTTTCCACTGCGAAGTTTGTAGTTCTATCTGACCCACTGGTTGGAATCCTGACCCTAAACTCAAAACCAACCTTGCAAAAGCCAGTCTTGTCTGACCAACTGTGGCTCAACAAACAAACCGTTCTGATTTATTTCTGTCTCGAATGCCATTGGTTACTGGGTCATAACAAGTTGTGCAAAATCATTTAGCTTACGTACTAGAATAATATGATTTCTTCATCTGTAAATTAAATTGCTGTAATACGACTACGCAGAGGCAGAAAACTCAGAACCAACCCAAGGATGAAATAGTAAAGCTACATTTGTTCCTGTGGGCTACGCACCATAGGTGCCGCCCATCTCTTTTCAAAGAAAATTTTAGCGAAGTAGTCATCTGTTGCCATGTTGCTTTTCATAATCGTTCTACTTTATGGAGTATTTACGTACAGGAAAAAAAAATTCCAAAATCTGGGAAAGTATTTTGAAAGCAAGTTTTCCAATAACAGTGTTAAGTTGATCTGTTCTATAAAGGTGGATGACACCAGATCTTCCAAGTTCTACTGCGTTTCGGGATTGTTCTTGAAAAGATATTCTGCCTATAATTAAAAGGAAAAAAGTAAACAACTTACAGGGTATTTATTAGCCCCCCCATCTCCCCCTCTCCTTTTCCCCTACCCCTCCCCTCCCTCCCTCTTTCTCCCTTTTAATACTGAGGCCCAAACTGAGAAGTGCTCTACCACTGCGCTATATCCCCAGCCCTTTTTGCTTTTTATTTTGAAACTGGGTCTTTCTAAATCCTTATGTTGACCAGGCTGGGCTCAAGCTCACACTCTCCTGCCTTTAATTGTCACAGAGCATGGGCACTGCAGGCACATATTTAATTTATATAATTAAATATAAGGGAAAAAATAAGGGTTTTGGGGCGTAGTTTGATGGCAGAGCACTTCTTCTTTTTCATTAGTACATGTTTACAGTCCATACTGCTTTCGTTCCTTGTGAGGAGTTGGTGCATGTATGTAACACATTTTAATTCCTTTTTCCATCCCCTCCCACCCTTCCGCCTCTTGATCGCCTTTCCCTATTTTTTCTCATTGAGTTTATTGGTACATTTTAGGTATACAGTACAGTTACATTCACCTTGGGGATCTTGGACCTTTACATGACAGTCTTGGTTCTCATTTTCCCTTTCCCTTTGAGGAAGACCTATCTCCCTACTTTCTGTGCTCTGTCTTTTATTTTGCTCTTTATTGATGGAGCACTTCTTGCCTAACAAGAGTGAGGCCCTGGTTTCAACCCTTACACACACACACACACACACACACACACCACATTTGTAAAAATTGAAATACATAAATTATGCTTCCAAATGAATAATAAAAGTCATACTATATAAGAATATGTGAGCAAGAGGGACAGTGAGAGAGGAGGAGGAGGAGGAAGGACAGGAGGAGGAGGAGAAGGAGGAGGAGGAGGGGAAATCTTATTGCAAACTGTAAATGTATTAGAAGCTACTCCCAAATAACCAGTTTCTCTGTCTCAACTGGTTTTCTGTTAAATTTCAGGCATATTTTATTTTTAAATCAATATTTTAAAAAATTAAATCTTGGGCCAGGGATGGAGCTCAGTGGTGCCGCCACCTGCTTCGCAAGCATGAGGACTGAGTTCAATCCCTGGTACCAAAATAAATAAATAAACAAATAAATAAATACATTGATTACCAGAAAATCAACAGGATCATCTGGCCTAACCTTACAGCACTCGTTCAGCCCTTGCACAAGAGTCGGCATAACATGGGTAATTAAGTAGTTTCTCAGGGGCCTAGACTGCGCCTCCAGTAGTTCCTTTTCTTCTCTCTTCACTTCCTCTAGTCGTTTATTCTATAAATAGAACATTTGGGGTGGATTAAATTTATAGCCAGAAAGGGGAAAACATTTTTACATAACTCCCCCACAGTGCATTAGAATGAGACACATTTTTTTTTTTTTTCTGAGACAGGGTCTATGTGGTTCAGATTGGCCTTGAACTCACTATATAGCCCAGGTTGGCCTCAAACTCACAGAGATCCTCCTGCCTCAGCCTTGTGATTGCCGGGATTATAGGCGTGTGCTTTTTTTTTTTTTTTAAAAGGCAGAGTCAAGAGTCAAGCCTGGTAGTCCAAACCAGCCTTGAACTTCCTATGTAGTCCAGGCTGGCATCAAACTTTCTCCTGCCTCAGTCTCCCCAGTGCTGGGATCATAGGTGTAAATGTATTAGAAGCTACTCATGCTACAGGTTGGATTTTTTGGCGGAGGGGTACTGGGGATTGAACACAGAGCCTTCGCACTGATCGTTTTTATTTTTTGATACAGGATCTTCCTAAGTCACGAATTGCCCAGGCTGGGCTTGAATTTTTGAACCTCCTGCCTCAGCCTGCTAGAGTGCTAGGATTACAGGAGCACACCACCCCACTATGAACTGTGTGCATCTTGGATCATTTCTTATACCAAAGTAATAGCTATTGGCCCAGGTGAAGAAAAGAAAGATGTGGGGGGGGGATGCGAGTGCTACTAGAAACCCAAAGGTGTTCCCAAGGTGACGTGTAGGAATAGCAACTCCAGGTTTCCTTTGGATGTCTCCCCCTCGGCCCAGCATGGCAGCAGACCTATAACCCAGCACTTGGAATCGACGCAGCAGGAACCTGAGTTTGAGGTCAACCCACGGTGAGTTCAAGGCCAGCCCAGAGTACATAACGAGACACTAAAAAACCTCCAAACTCTCCCTCTGAGCCTCAGGTGTGGGTGGCCACGGACATCAGTTAAGGGTGAGCACAGCAAGGTGAAGCCAACCGGAAGAGGGAACAGAGAAGGCCTCCCGGGTCCTTGGTGATATCAGAGCCACAAGCCCGACCCTTGCACTGCTCAAAGAATCCATATTTTCTTTATGTCTATGATTTCTCGAGTTTGCTTTTCTGCAACTTGCATGATAAAGAGTCCCATCTATTACTCGTTTGAAAAGAGATCCTTCTCAGTGAGACAGCAGACTTGGATATCTAAATGGGGAAAAGATGGGTGTACAACATGGAAGCATAAAGCTTTTGTTTGGCCACAAAAAATACCGTAAATATTGTTGTGTGTTGTGTTGTAAATGTTGTGTGTGTTGTGGAGAAAGCAGAGAGCTATTCTGGGGAGCAGAATCGCTTACGAGGAGCGGTGATCTGGGGAACTAGGAAAGGGGGGACGAGTAAGGTGCAACGCATAACGAGATGGAAGAACAACTGAATTAAACCACAAGGCCACACGCAGGGTGCTCCGCACGTACATGCTGTGTGTCAATACCACTCACGGGTAGTTTCTTTTAATCAATGCTAAGCATAGACCATGATGTTTTTTAAAAAATGGTAGACTTGGGCCAGGGATTTAGCTGAGCGGTTCGGTGGCCTGCCTCGCAAGTGCAAGGACCCAAGTTCAATCCCCGGTACAAAAAAAAAAAAAAAAAAAAAAAAAAAAAAAAAAAAA